TTCTCAAGGATCATGTTCAGACTGGGGAGTGACCCTGGAGAGCTACCGCTTTTTCTAGACGACAATGCCCCTATCCAAACTGATAGGTGTATTCAAGAATGGTTCGAAGAGCATGACGATGCAATTGGACATTTTGCTTGGCCACCTCAGTCCCCGGACTTAAATATTATTGGACAGTTAAGGGCATATTTGGAGTCCAAACTTTGTTCTCGATTTCCCCCTCCATCCGGACTTTCGGAATTAGAGAACACTCTGCAGGAGGAATGGCTTAATATTCCTTTAAATACTGTCCATGACCTTTATGCATCTATCCCATGTCACATTCAATCTGTACTTCAGTGAAAGGGTGGTCCAAGCCCCTATTAATAAAGATTTTTCATTATTTAACAGGTGTTCGTATTATTTTGTCCTCCACCTGTACTTCCCTGTACTTCCATATCCGTGCCTATCATAGTAAAGCTCCTCAAATCATTTGACTGAGTATGAGACAGTTTAGTTACTTTCAGCAGATAGACAATTTCACACTGCTTCTGTCCTAAAGCATGCAAAACTGAAGCTGAAGTTTCTTTAACTACAACTTATTAATGGAAAACAATTGACAAAGAACCTTAGTAAGGTAAATATATATACAGGGTGCCCACTAAAGTCTAGTACCACCTGTTTCACTGCTGAATGATTGCGACCATAGTCATACAAGTGGTCACCAGATATGGTACAGCAGCTATGCACTACTACAGGGATGTCAAACTCATAGGTACACTTGGGCCAAACAAACAAGGTTTAACTTTAGGCGGGCCACAAAAAAAAAATCAATATTCATAGAAATGTAGATTTATTTTGAATAATACAATAATAAACATATATATATATTTATATAGAAAAGAACAAGAAAAATTTAATGTTTACATCCTGATACTTGACATCTCTTCTCTGCTATTATCTTTCTTATTTCGGGAGAAATTTTGTTTGCAGTGATAACTTTCAACGCTGACCCAAGGTGAGCATCATTAATACGGTTTCTAATAGGAGACTTATTACCTTTCATGACTGAAAATAACTGCTCACACCGATAAGTGCTACCAAACATGGAAATAATTTCATATGCGAATTTTCGAGTATTTTCAAACATGGCTGGTAAATATTTGTAAAATTCAGGCATGCCCACTTCAATGAATTTTGCTTTCAAATTTGAGTTGCATTGAATCTCGATCACCTCCATTTGCATATGGCTAGGTACTGAGTCAATACTTATTGAGAAAATCGAAGAAAACAAAAAAAATTTGTCTTCGAGGGAACTAAAATCATTAAACCTCGTTTCAAATTCAGTTGTTAAATTTGTAATTTTTTCTGCGTAATTTTGATACGAACAAGTATCATCTAAACTTGATTTGTTCATGCTGCACGTCGGAAAGTGCGTCAAATCTTCATTTTTAAGTTGTTTTTCCCAAAGAACTAGTTGACATTTGAATGCTTTAATTATGTCAAACATGTTCGTAATGATATGATCTTTTCCTTGTAACGATAAATTTAAATCGGTTAAGTGTTTGGTTATATCAACCAAGAAAGATAAATCTTGTATCCATATTGGATCGTAAAACAAACTTATGTCTTGATTTTTCGTTTTTAAAAACTGACATATTTCTTCTTTGAAATACCAGAATTGTTTGAGAATCTTGGAGCAAGATAACCAATGTACCTCGGTATAGTAGGACAAACCTGAATATTTACTATCTAACTCACTTAAGAAAGCAGTGAATTGACGCTGATTTAAACCTCGAGATCTTATAAAATTTATAACTTTTTTTTATATATATGACAAAACATTCTCCATATTTATTACTTTCGTGCATAGAACTTCTTGATGTATAATACAATGCATATGATGAATATTTGAACCGTCGATTTCATTAAGTTTTTTTTCTTAGTAATGCTACAAAGCCCTTGGAGCGCCATCTGTAGCTACAGAATTTAATTTTGCCAAAGGTAGATTGTATTTCTGCAGAAGTTCAAAACACAAGTAAATATATCTTCTCCTGTGGTAGTACCAGGCATCGGTATTAGTTCCAGTAATTCCTCAAAAATGTTAAAATTCTTGTCACAAGAACGAAGAAACACTGCTAATTGTCTGTGCTCTCGTCACAGGCAATGGAGAAACTTTCAAAACTAGATGATTTTGCTTTGATCTGATCACTTAAATTCATGGCTAAATCAGTAACTCTTTCCGCAACTGTATTTCGAGACAATGAAATTGATTGAAAAGCCTTCACATTTCCAGGACAAACAATTTCTCCAGCTTTCATTAGGCATTCCTTGATGAAATCACCGTCAGTAAAAGGCTTCGAATGTTTAGCTATCAACTCGGACAAGACGTAGCTTGCATGTACCGCCGCTTCACTTTCTTGCAATACTTTACTAAACATGGACTGTTGCTTTTTCACTCCTAACTTGAGCTCTTTCAACTTTTCTTCTCTCATTAATCCTTCGTAATTGTTATATTTCGATTTGTGTTGTTTGTAATGACGTTTAATATTATATAACTTTGGTACATTAATAGTATTATTACATATCAAGCAGATTATTTTATCTTTTATTTCACAGCAAAAACATTCTAATTCCCATTTTACTTGGAATATTCTATGTTCGTCAGCGATTTTTCGTTTAATTTTACTACCACTTGGTTTTCATATAGACATACTGAATACAAAGGGCTGGAATAAACATGGTTAACGTTAAAAAGTTAACAAAAATTTATTCTTTCCACAAGAGATAAATCAAAATGCTGAAATATTCCTTCAAAAATATTTTAACAATATCACAAAATGTCAAACGTTTAGCAAAAATCAATTCAAAACAGAGAAACTAATTCTATCTCACAGCGATATCGCTACAAATCAATCACAGCATTAAGTAAACAAACAGTTCGCTAGAACTACAGCTACTACTGAGATGAGTTGTTTGTTCTCGGCTTTTATAAGCTTTATAATTAATTTCTCAAATATACTGGAAACATCTATAAATATCTGGATTTTTGTGGATGGCAACAGCAATTATGAGATATTTATTTATTAGGTATTAAATGCACCCGCTGTTCTATTTTTAACCTTCCAACGCAGCTGTCTTTTCAAAAATCGTCTCCATTGCTAAGGCAACATGAAGCAAATATAATTATAATTCTAAATAAAAAAAACTAAATAAATAAATAACTATGAAATCCGTAACAATATGAATTAAGTAACAATTAATAATAAACCAAAGTGCATGCACATGCATGGACCAATATATCGTACAAAACTACGATTGGAAAACTGAGACCATGAGTTCGGCCACATTCGGCTCTCGGGGGATGCGTACAAGTTCTGAGTGTATGTGTCCCCCAAAAGCCGAAGGTAGCTGAACGCAAGCTACTCACACGCATTTGCAATTTAAGTAGTGTGTGTGTCAGCTTGCTGTGAGTAATCTAACAACACTGAATAAATTATCGTTAATTACTTAGCAGTAAGCATTTCATTTTTTTCTTCGTCGATATGTTATTTTATTATTATATATTATTATTTGCCGATATATTGGCCGGGCCGCAAAAATATTTGTTGTGGGCCGCGAGTTTGACTCCTTGCACAACTAGATGAGATAGCTTTCAGCGCCACCTGGTGTAAAACAGTGAAGTTAGCGTCTCTATCTCGAAAACGGTATGAGATAGGAAGAAAAAGTGAATTACAAAGTTGTAGAGCATCTTCCGTTTTAGAACAAAAAGGCATCTCATGGACATGAATGTTAAGAAAAAACTGTTTTAAACGTGCATCTGTTTGTTCGCAATTTCCGAAACTGTGATGTCATGAAACTATCTTAGAAAGAAAAAAACAACTAATTATCACAAGCTACCTTTATTTTTGATGTTTTAAACTTCTCTCCAAGAGCTGAAGTGCACATCTGGACCCTTGTTAGAACTTCCTGTTTCACTTTGTCGCGTGGAGGGTGACACGTTTGCACAAGCATCTCTAATATGTCATTAAAGGTCTTGCAATGTTTGTGGAGTGACCGCATGCACCTGCTGTTTGAGGTATCTGCGCAGGAAAACGTTGCTGATGCAACAGAGCTGCCATCTGTTCCATGCGCTCACACTCACCATAAATTAACCCATCTCGCAATAATCATTTTTTGAAAAATCGCTCCATGACCACAAGTTCCAACATACAGCCACAAGGATATATCCATTTTATAGCTGTCTCAAGTGAATAGATATTATGTTTCATACACTATTTACATAATGCACAAATTCTCACACCAAGCTCAAATTGCGCTGAATTGATGCGTTTTGTGTCACGATTGTGCACGATCTGTATGTTGTCTATTCTGCTTTTAAAGACGATCAGTACAATGATGCGAACCGCATGGCCTGAACCACAGTCCTCTTGACTAAGAATTGCAAGCGACATGCCATGATACGAGCATGTTTTTAATTCGAAAGATAATCTTTTCACCTTACGTTCATATTTTATGACGTCACAGTTTTGAAAATCACGAAGAAACAAATGTGCATTTTCAGTGTCCTATTTTTAGCATTCATATTCATAAGGTATCTATTCGTACTATATCGGCAATGTTCTACAACTTTGTAATTTACTTTTTCTTCCTATCTTGTATCGTTTTCGAGACAGGGAGGATAACTCCGCCGTTTTTCACCAGGTGGCTTGGGCGATGTAAGCAGGTTTTCACCAGGTGGCTCATCAAGTAGCACATAGCCCCTTTATTATACCTAGACACCAATGTTATGAATATATAGCTGCAGCCGTTTGGCAGTTAAATGGGTAGTACCAAACTTTAGTGGGCCCCCTGTATATATATTGAAAGAAAAGATTAAAATTTCAAATTAAATTGAAAGAAAAGATTAACAGATCATGGCAGATTAGCATACAAAAATGATCACCTTGTATAACAAATATCATTAAATACTGTCTTATCTGTTAAAATAAGGGTTAAATATTTCAGCAAAATGTTCTTACTTTCCATTATTAGCTTTGCTGGTAAATATTCTTAAAAGAAATTCCCCTTCTTGTCCAGGCTCAAATGTAGTAGGTACAATTACATATCGACCATACTTCAAACTGCAGCGCTGAAAGACATTCCTTGACATTGCATACTGTGATCCTGCAGCTTTCTCCTTTACTGAATGTAAACGATAACGTCGATTTGCCTCCACCTACAGAAAATATTCCAAAGACACATAAAAATTATTACAGATATAAATGTATATAGAAAGAAAAATATTAACAATATTCATTAAATTAATTTGGCAAATTAAAAAATAATTCTGGAAAATACAATCAAAGCTGAAGAGATGTGTGTACATATGTGAACAAACATGTTCTTTCTTGTATCAAAATGAAGGACAGAAAATGCCTTTGGGATGTTAATGCACACATTTTTATCCAAGTGATATGTTTGCTAGAGGTTTAATCATGCTGCCTAATATGACTGTTCTTATATGCCATCATTTGGTACATTGTTACTGAATGGCCAAAGTCCAGCCTGTTTGTATATGGGAAATACTTCACTTACTGTGATTAACAATTCACTTAATATGATCAAAATAATATAGAATTTTTTTTTTTTTAAACTGAAAAAAAAGTCCCCAAATACAGTCATAGATTTTTTAAATTGCAAGTAATAGCGAAATGTTCCCCAGTAAGTGATTAAGTCACTAAACAGCTTAGTTTCAATTTTAATCAACCTTTCAAAAAAAGTATCTCTATTGGTTTTTTAGGCAGTCAGACATATGACTCTTCTCTTCAGGAGAAAAAACAATTCTGCAGAATTTTTTTTTCCATTTTTCTTGCTCCTGGGAAAGAAAATCCATGAAAACATTTATAAAGGCGTTTTTTCCCCCTAATAATTATTAATTTTACATTCCCATGTTTTCCTTTAATAAGGGATGTCCAATAAAGTATTAAGATAAGAGGCCCACCAGCAGTCAAATAACTTCCAGAAACTTTTGAACACTTTATAAATGAACTTTTGCATTAAAGCCATTGTGAACAACTCATAAACAAATTTTTGCCTTTTCCTAGTTAAAATGCTGTGACAGAATCTATTTATATGTTTATGGTTATAATTATTTTAAATTAGTGAAATTCCTTTGCTGTTTTGAATGGCATTTTTTATCATCATTTAATTTTCTCATTCAGTCAATGTTATCAAAATAGTTATGAACAAACATGATCACATTCAACAGCACTACAGATTCAATTGGTCGTTGCGCCATACAGTAGCAACTCATGATATAACTGTTGATGGAATTTAGACAGAGTGATTAGGATGAGAAGTGAATCATCTGTAGTTGTCTTATGTTCAGCTGCACGCACATCAGCTGATGTCACATTATTTTGCAATGGCTGGTCACAACACCAGCTGACACCACATTGCATTTACCATCAGTTTTGTAATGTTCCTGTATCATATAGTAGCTTCTGTGTTTTTATGAAAAAGTTGTTTGTTAATAAAGTTGATAAAGTGATGTCACTAAAAGTCACATGAAGTCATGTCTTGTAGGAACCAAAACTGAGCCACATCCACAACTCTTACAACGGAGACCCATCTATATGCATGAAGTTTCAAACTTAATCCAGACTTCATTTTCTACACTTCAACCATCAGTGTTCAGGAAATAGCAGCAGTAAAGATATTGATCATGCATTATGTTTTGCTAGGTGTGAATCAGCTTTTCCTTTAGCCACACCAAAGCCAATTATGGATACTAATTCAGAAGTCAAACAACAAACTATTGTGTCCCAATTATGGATCCCAAGACGACATTTAACAATTGGGTTACTCATTTGACAAGGGAGATTGCTTCTTTGATTCGAGACGCGCATTGATGCTTCTCAGCAAGACCTGAAAACTGCCATTACTGAGTGCTGTGGAGAAAACAGTATCCAGGAAATCTGAAAATTATTTGCCAGGGAGCAACTTGGAGACAGAAAACCATCTGAACTCTTTCATGTCATAAAAAGACTGCTGAAAAACCCAATATATCTAACTCATTGTTACTGGAGTTGTTCATTCAGCAAATGGCATCAAATGTTCAATCTATTCTCGCATCTGCTGGCGAGCTGCTTGATTCTTCAAAAGCTGCTAGCACTCTAAATCAAATATTGGAAGTCACACCAGCTCAGGCAAACACAGTTTCTTCATTTGTTCAGGCAACGTATCTAATATTTTTAAATTGGATACAATGCTGGATGAGGTCTGCAAATCACGTGGTGAGGTATTGTCTCTACGATGATCACGCAGTGTTTCTAAAAACTGCTTTAACAGAAAGTGAAGCCCTTCAGCTAAAGCTGCTTCTATTTTTTCCTATTGATGGTACTATCATAAATGTAATGAGAATGCTAAATGTTTTCATCCATGTTCATTTCAAGGAAACGAATTAGGGAAAGCATAATGCTCACTTGCACTTTACCCTCTGAATCTTGTTGCCTTTTTATTAGAGACAGAAAATTAAATAAAATCATTTTGTGCAACATTGGCTCAGATGTCAGTCGTCTCTCAGCAAACAAAGACAAAATGCATGAGACTCCTATTCTGATGTTTTCTGCTGCCAATGGCACACCAATTCCAATTTATGGATGAAAACTTCTTGTCTTGGGCAACCTAAAGTGTAAATGAATATTACTGGACCTGATTTTCTACATTATTTTGATTTACTGCCTGATTTAAGGAATAGAAAAACTTGATTTAAAAACTAATTTAAAAATTAATTGCAATATCATTAACACAGATTTGTACTATCAAAGCAATTGTTGAAAATAAGCATAAGATAAATTACTGTTTAACTATCCTTCACTGCTGAAACTTTCTGATCTTAATAAGAATGTTCATAATACTATGCATTTCGTTGAAACTGTATGTCCTCCTGTGTCATGTAAGCTTTACAAGATTAACTCCAAACAGATTAAAAATTCCTAAAAATGAAATCCAAAAAATGATCAATTTAGGCCACATGCGACCTTCCAAAAGTAATTACTCCTTTTCTCTACACATGCTGTGAAGGAAATGCACAAAACAAATCGAGACCTGTGAGAAATTTTCAGAGGTTAAATGCTCAGAGAGTGACAAATAAGTATCCTATTCCCAACATTTGTGATTTTGCAGCAGAGTTGCATGGAGCAAGGGAATTTTCTCGAACAGATTTGGTAAAATCCAATCAAATTCCAATTAATCCTTCTGAAATTCATATAACACTTATTGCCACTCTTCTCTTACTTTCTGAGACAAGAATGTAGTTTGGGCTATGCAACATTTCAACATTTTATTGATGAAGTAACTCGTGAGCTGCCATGGGTATTTGCTTTTGCTGACAATATACTGATTGCATCAAGGGACGAAACTGAGCATATGGCACACTTGAAAGCTCTTTTCGAAAGATTAAGTAATTTAGGTTAACAATTAATGTATCTAAATGCACTTCTGGTGTAACATCTTCAGAGTTTTTAGATTGTTACTTATCTGAACAGGGTTTAAAACTTTTACCCCACAGAGTGGAAGCCATTCAAAATTTTCCCAAACCTAACTCTTTAATGCACTTAAGAAAACTTCTTGGCACTTTGAACTTTTACAGACAATTTGTCTCAAGAGCTTCATATGCTTTAGCTTCCTTAAATATGTTATTGGAAGGCCATAATAATCAAATCAAACCTTCACAGCCAAGTAAAATAAAAGAACACCCTCTTCAATGGGATGATGAAGGTGAGAAAGCATTCACCGACGTGAAAAAGGCAAATGCAGAGGCAAACCAACTCAGACACTTAGTTCCTGGTACTAATCTGAAACTCTGTACTGATGCATCAGACATTACAGCTGGTAGCTCATTATTGCAATTGCATAATTCAATTTGGGAACCCATTGTGTTTCTATCTGTTAAATTCGGTAAAAGTGAAAGGAAGTGGTCAACCTATGATTGAGAACTACTGGCTATATATTTGTCAATCATGAAATTTTGGCAGATGCTCAAAGGCAATGCCTTTACAATCTACACATATCAAAAGCCCCTAATATATGCTTTTAAGTAAACACCTAAAAAATGTTCTCCATTACAACTTCATCATCTTGATTTTATTGGCCAATTTTCCACTGACATACGATACATCAAATGTCATGACATCATTGTTGATGATGCCTTAAGTAGATGTAGTTTCTGATTATCAACATATTGATTATAAAAAGTTATCTGAAGCATAACTTCAGGACTCTGAAATTCAAAATTCTCACTGTCAATCTTATAAGTTTTTAAACTAGAAAAACATTATTCTCCGTTAAAAGATGTTACTATTTGCTGCAATATGGACTCAGGTTCGCCTTAACCATTCATTCCTGAATTTTTTTCGTTCTAAAATTTTTCAGCAGATTCACCTTCTTTCTCCGGCCTAGTATGAAGAAATTTGTTAAAATTCATCTGTTCAATCTTGCCTACAATGTCAATGTTCTAAAATTCATAGACATTCTAAATCACCTGACTTTTTCTTCACCAGATGCAAGATTTGCACATATCCATATTGATTTCATACGTCCTTTTTCCACTGTCTGAAAGTAAAATTTGAATGAGAATTATTGACCACTCACATGGCCAGAAGTTATACCTACCACTGATGTATTAGCTTAGACTAATTGTAAAGAGCTAGATTTGGCTGCTCCATATCAATAACAGATCAAGCCTGAAATTTTGAATCTCACTTATTTAAGGATGAAGGTTTTGGGTATGCACTGCATTCGAATTTGGTGCTTACTATTCTCAGTCCAATGGGTTGATTGAAAGGTTTCATAAGCAGCTTAACCCTTTGCGGCATGGTGGGTCAATATGTGTCCCACCTAATTAATATTTATTTTCTCAGTTAGCAATTTCGCTTAGAAATTTTCTAATCTTTTAAAAGTAATCGATTTTAGTTATTATTTTTCTCAGTAGATGTCACTACTATACCAGAGCTTAAGTTTATAAGCAAAAAAATATTCAAAATAGGATCACTAGAATGATATCCAGGTATCTCACATTTTTCAATATTTTAAAAATTCTGGTATACAATTTAGGATATGTGTGATTCTTTTTAATATTCAAAGGTATTTTATTTTCAAAAATCTTAATTGGATTCAATATTTTATAACATTAATTTTGCAGTTGAAATAAGTGGGTTAAAATTTGTGCCACCA